TTTCTTTTAAAACTGGTTTTCTATAGGCTCTGTTCGAATCTATGATTTTGCTGGCAAAACTCCTTTGGCTCAGATGAGATTCAAACAAGGAGGTACTGCCCTCACCTGGGTACCCCGACTGGTGAGTTTATTATGATGATCTTCTAAGATCTATTGGTAAATATGGCCTATCGGTGCTATTTCTTGGAAATCTATTTTATACCCTGGGTTTTAGAGGAAAATAAAAATTTTGACTTTATTCACTCATAATGTGAATCTAGTTCAGATCTAGTGACAGATCATATCATGACCTTGCTTTTGTGGTTACGGTCCTGTTTTAATAAAAATCTATTTTTATGCCACCTGCAGGTTAGTAATTATTCCATGTTACAAAATTATTGCCCAACAGAACTTTGGGTATCTATCCTCTATCAGACTCTGATTTCATTCATTCTAGTTATATTCCTGGTGTGCCTGCAGTGTGCTGGGGCTTGTTCTAGCTTCTGGGAATGTAACAGGGAACAGAAAGACAAAAATACTTGCCCTCATACACCTTACACTTTAGTGGGAGGGAGGAGGCAGAAATGGACAATACAGAAAATAAGTAACATACGTGATAATGATAAGAGCTATGAAGAAAATTAGGCAGAGGTAGAGAGTTGTTCTTTATCCATTACAATGTAATAAACTACCGTAAAATGTAGTGGCATAAAACAGCAAACATTTTATTTTGCTCACATTTTCTCTGGATTGGGAAATCACGGTATCTGGGGGCTGGAATCACGTAAAGTCTTCTTTATCACAAGCCTGGCATCTGGGCTGAAGGCTAGGCTAAGCTGGGCGCTCAACAGGAGTGCCTGCTTAATGGCTTCTCCTTGTGGCTTGGGCTTTACCACAGCAGGGTGGCCTCAGGACAGCCACATACTTCTTACATGACAGCTAATGACTCCGAGATCTAGTGTTTCAACAAAAGGCCGAAGCTGCTGGCCTTCTATGACCAGTCTTGGAAGTCACATAATGTCATTTATACCATACTCACTTGAGTGAAGCTGTCACAAGCCCCACCCAGATTCAAGGAGGGGATTTCTCCATGGGAGGCATGTCAAAGAATTTGCAGCTATTTTTCAAAATATCATGGGAGTATTTGGGGAATGTTTTATCTTTACTGTTTTGGGTTGAAGTCAAAGAGAAAATGTTTCAGGACCAAAATAAATGTGGACATGGCTAGAATGGAGGAGAATTTAGTGATAGAATCAAGACCAGAAAGACAACTCAGGCCAGGGAATAGAAGCAGAACAATGATGAGGTTTAGAACAAGTAGAAACCACAGAGTATTTGTCTTACCAAACCTGGCTCACTCTATTCCATTTCATTTACACTCTTACCTGAAGTATTTAAAATACAGCTATATAATTAAATAATTTATCAGATGGTCATTCGATGTCCATAGAATGTTTCCCTTTTTTAGTCTCATATCCAAGTAATGATCATTGGATATCATGCTGGAATTGAAATGCCTTTTCTCTATGCCCTCTCGCTTCTCTAGAAAACTCTGTCTTTATGACTCAGCTTAGGTCAAACATCATCTCCTCTGCATAGCCCTCTGTGACCCTATCTTCTAGTAGAGCTAGGTACTACTTCCTCTGATTTTTTTTTTTTAAAGCACTGCTTATATACCAATTTTATGATACTTATCATATCACAATGTACTAAGATAAACTGCTTTATTGTATCTTTCCCACCAGACTGTTATTCATGGTGACAACCACACTTTATTCTTCTTTGAACCTCCAGTACCTCTATAGTATATTTAGACACACAGTATATGTTTATTGAATGAACAACATTCAAGGAATTGGATGGAGTACAGTTTTCTTATTACCAAGATTCTCATAACTGCCTGGCCTCAGGGATGATCGCTCTGCTCTAAAGAACAGCAGGGCTCTTGCCTTTCTCCTGAATGCCTTCCAAGATAGCAGATTTAGTATATTCAGACGTTGCTAGATTTCTATCTCCAGCCCATACTTCTTGGAGCTGCAGACCATGTGCCATCCTCATTTTGAGTTTCCCAGGGGACCTCAATCCCAATGTGTCCAAGACTAGATTCATGATACTCTGTTGGCCTCCCCCCAACCCCCCTCCAAAACAATAATGGCAGCAACAAACCACACACACACACACACACACACACACACACACACACACACACGTGCTTGGCTTCTTCCTAGTGTTACCTAACTCAGTAAATGTCTCAGTAATCCCTCTGTCCTCCTCCCCCATATTCAGTTGTCACCAAATAGGACCATTATAACTCTCTCTAAACTATGCCCATATCCCTCCTCTCTGCAATGCCACCTCAAACCCAGTGATCATAATCACTCTCCTGGAGTAAGGTAGCTATCTCTTAAAAGGTCTCCAAAGGTCTTCCTGCATCCTATCTAGGCCATCTCGGTTCTGTTTTGCACAATGCATCTAGGATGACTTTTCTGAAATATCAAGTCTGGTCACATCACCTCCCTTACCCACACATACCCAAGCCCCCAACTAAAAACCTTTTAATGGCTTCCCACTGCTCTTGGGATGAAGACTATCCTTATAAGCTACTTTTTGACCTGGTGCTTGCTTATCCCCCTCTCTGGCCTGTTGTGGAAGCCCTGTTCCCTCACTCAGTCTGCTGTAGTCAAACTAACTTTTTCCTGAGTTACGTTCTTTCCTGCCACATGACCTTTCCACAAGCTATGTCTTCTCCCAGGAGTGTTTCTCTCACCTCCCTAGACTTAGTTAATTTCTGGGCATCTTCTGATCTCCGCTCCACCATCTCTTCTTTAAAGAAGTCCTCAGTCTAGGTCAGCTTTCTTTGTTATATGCTCTCCGAGATCATTTCTTTCCTTTAGTGTTTATTTCTGTTCAGAATTTAACACTCATCTGTGTGATTAACATCTGTCCTCCTGCTAGATCCTAAACTCTGTGAAACTAGGGACAAACTGTTCATGCGCTCCCTTGGGTGGCTGGTGATAGGTGCCTGGCATGTGGTAGAAGGATGCGCCGCCAACGTTTGCTCCAGTGCTTGAATTGCCATTATTTACCTGTCTCACGATCAGCAATGATAAGGAGCTGTTCTAAAATAGAGGTTACCAGAAAGTGATATAAGGAATTAGCAGTGAACAGTCAATATTAAATTACTTAGCTGAATAAAATACAAAGTTATCTGTTATGTAGCACAACTTTCTGAATCAACTAATTTCACATTTGTTGCATTTAATTTTTATCCAAGGTAAGCTACACTGGAGCACAGATTATCGTAGGATTCGAAGATGGAGTTGTTCGAATTCTTGAACTTTATGATCCAAAAGGGCTCACAGTTTTTGCAGGACGGAAGAAAATTTCAGATGCAGATATTAATTTGAAACAGGTTTTCAAGCCCCATACTGCTCGTGTCACTGCCTTAGCTTATGAACGTGATGGAGAAATTCTAGCTACAGGGGTAAGTGGTAGATTTCCTTTTGTTTCCTATTGAGCTTTCATGGTTCAACTTGTCTTATCAGTCTTCCTACTTGATGTAACGTATTTGCTGAGGTACACTTTTTTTTTCTTTTTGCTGACGTGCACTTTTGAGAAAAACGCAGTTTGCTTTCTTTGTGTTCATATTCTTTCAGTGTAGTCAGTGCATGACATTTCAAAATTTTCTTGCAGATTGAGTTCTAATGCTTATTTTAAATGAATGGAAAATTTCAACTGGGAATTATGATCAGTGTTTTATACATAATCAATATTCTATCATATAGGTATGTTCGTATATAAAATTGCCATAAGCGAAGAGAATATGTAAATTTTTCATGCGTTGATAGGGGAGCATATGCTTTGTGGAACTTTTGGTGAGTTAATCTATGTACAGGTATGGTGATTGTTTTTTTCAGAAAGATATTGGAACACTTGGTTTGTCAGACATTTTCATGGGGGACATGAAGCAAATACTTGAAATGTGAATTTTCCCAGCATAATCTGGGATCTCTGATTATCATAGGTATAAATATACAGTGGGTATACTCTATTAAATGCTACTCTATACTCTGTGGGATATATTTCAAAAAGAATACATATTTGATGGGTATTTCTCTTTTTCTTAGAGTAGAGATCAAACCGTCTTCTTCTTTGAGGTAGAAAAGGATTATAAGCCAATCGGTTATATTACTACTCCTGGACCTGTTTGCCAGTTAGTATGGTCTTCAGTTTCCCATGTGAGTAATTATTATTTGTCTTCATGCTTAAATCTCAATTACCGCATAATGAAGTGATCTGGAAGATAGAGAATAGCAGGTAGAATGATTAGTCCCACTCCTGGGTCCTGCAGTGAGGAGTCAGGAATGCTTCTTAGCTTGGCTAGTAGCATATCACTGAGGAGCCCAGTGTCCTACTCACTATCTCCTCTCTCTTGCATGCTCTAATTAATTGGTCATGATCCACTTGAGAACATTGAGGTCTATCAGGCTTTGCTTTAGTAACAATGGTGACTCTATTGAGATACATATGTTGTAATGTGTTGGCTTGGATCTGTCAGTCCTTTTGACATTCAGAAGTTCACTTCAAAGGTCTGAATGTACTTGCCCTCATCTTTATCTCTTTACTTGTCTTCTACCCCCCTTCTACCTCCATTTTGTCTTCTAATCTTCCATTGACTCTTTCCTAACATCAGCTGGTGATTAGATATTAACTATTGATCTTATTTAATACCTCTAATTTCCCTAACTTCAAGCATAGGATAATTCAGTTGTCTAAATATCGATTGTCTAAACCAGGTGCTATACTGTGTTCTAGGATAATAATAGTGATGAACTGGGGTGCCTGGGTGGCTCAGTCAGTTGAGCTTCTGACTTCAGCTCAGGTCATGATTTCATGGTTCATGGGTTTGAGCCCCACATTAGGCTCTGTGCTGACAGCTGAGAGCCTGGAGCCTACTTTGGATTCTGTGTTTCCCTCTCTCGCTGCCCTCCCCTGCTCACGCTCTGTCTCTCTATCAAAAATAAATAAACATTAAAAAAATTTAAAAAAATAGTGATGAACTGCATGGAGGTGTTCTCAGGATTATTGAAGTAACATGTGTAGCCTACTTTAAACTCTTCTAAAGACAAGGGCTATAACAATATAGTGGTATATAGAAAAAACTTTTTTTTAAGTTAACATACTCATTGTTTTCATCTTTGCTAGGCACTGATGTATTCAATAAGCAGTATAAAACAATCTCTTCTGAAAGGGAAAAAAAATGCACCTATTTAAGAAGTTAAATAACTATCACAGAACAATACAAAGTTTTACAAGGGAATTGGTGACTAAAATGTCAGTGGTATAAGACAATATGTGCTCTGAATATAGAGCAGGGAAATGTCAAGAAGGGGATAAGTTAACATAACTTATTTTGTACTATTTTACCTTAATTTTGAGGAATTGGTAGGATGTGGGCATTTCGAGAGAAGGTAAGTGCAGATGGTTTAGGTGAAGGAAACAAAAGCTGCCAAGGGAGCTCTGTGTTAAAGCATGAATGCAACATGTGGTATTATGTACACCCTTTAATCATTTCCCTTAGATTCAAAGTAAAAAATCCAAAAAAGTTAGGAATGGTGGGTGGGAAGATGGTGGGTGGGACTATAGAGGGGCCTCTTGAGGAAGATCTTTATGGTGATGGGATAGTTTTGCATCTTGATTGTGGTGAATGGTTACACAAATCTACATCTATAAAATGACCTAGAACTCTACACACATTCTATATTAATGTCAATTTCCTGGTTTCCATATTGTTGCCTAAGAAGTCACCAATGGGGAAAACTGGGTGAAAGATACATGGTTCCTCTCTGTACTATCTTTGCAACTTCTTGTGAATCAAAAATTATTTTAAAATAAGCTAAAAATTTTTTTTAATAGGCATTAGACGAAACCCCCCCCCCCAACATAATTCAAAAGTTATTTCAGGCAGTGCTGCCAATTAGTGCTTGTATTTCTAATATTATTTGGGAATTACTAATGTCAAAGAAAATTACCCTCATTTCACAATATATACATGTATCAAACCATCTATCGTTATAGTTCAATAGAGATGTGGAAAAAGGTAAATGACCATACGTAGCTGATACCCTGCATACTTTAGTTGTCTAAATTGCCATAGATGTTAGCTTCCACTAGCTCTCAATGGTCAGACCGCCTGCCCTCCTGAATGCATTAAACTTCTGCCCATTATTTATAATTTGTGTTTCCAATAAGGAAACGTGCACAGAGAATCATTTGGCCTGCCGTGGTCACTACCATGATCACTTTGGGCAGATGAGAGGCAGATGGGACAACTGGGCAGCTGTGTTCCAGACATGTGACCAGGGCATGAAATACTATGTGGACGAGAGCTATGTCTGAGGTAGAATTGACAGAATTTGGTGAGCTTTTGAATTTTTGGGGGTAATTTTGAAGTGTCTAAATGAAACTCCTTAGTTTCTCTAAGACATGTTCTTTTGCCTACATTATTCTGGGGCCACTGTTCTCTGTTGCTGAAACCAGAAAATCTTGAGAATCATTCCAGTCTCTTCCTTACCTCTAACCACCCTGCCCTTCAGTGGTTCACTAAGCTTCTTTGATTATGCAACCTAAACATCCCTGCCTTCTCTTCGATATCCTAGATGTAAACATAATACTGTAGGTAAAAGTAAATAGCATTCAAATAAATGAAAGTGAAGTGAAAACTAATGGACCATTTGGAAGAAATGAACAAACCCTGTTCCCATGCAGTTTAGAGGTGTAAATGCTTTACTGCAAAGGCCCAGCAGAACATCAGGCTCACTTTCCTGCATTTCCCGTTTCGCTGGAATCCTGTCCTCTCAAGTCCTAATTTGTTTGAGTAGCTTTGAACTTCAGCTTTTGTCTCTTCATCTCTGAGAGAATCCCCAAAGCTCTAGGACACTGCCTTGTGTTTGGCTTCTAGGTCTCATGCAAACTGTTGGCAATTTGTCCTTAGGAGGCAATTGGTCCTTCCTACTATCCGACATCGATTCCTGTCTACCTCTGCATCTGCCTGCCCTCTTCCCTTTTTTATAATAGAGATGGCCTCTTCCTTCCCACATGGAGCCAATTCTGAGTCCTGTCCTTTGGATTGTACTCTCTCCCACTTTTTTCAAGGTTTCATATTACTTATTTTCTCTTTTCTGTCATATAAATTTAGCCTCACCTGTTTACTGGATCATTTCCATCAGCATTTAAATATATTCAAGTATCTCCCATGGGGAAAAAAAATTGCTTGACCTCCTGTTCTCCTCTAGCTGCTGTGCCATCTTTCTCCTTCTGACTTTTCTAAGAGGATTAATTATTCCTATTGACTTTTGCTAGTATCTACTCTCATCATTCTACCAAATCAGCTCCTGTGAAGACACCAGTGATATCCATCCATTTAACATTTTCCATTCTTATCTTTCTTGACCTCTTAGCCTCATTTGAACCTGTTGACCCTTACTTTCTCTTTTAAAAACCACTTCCCTGGGGGTGCCTGGGTGGCGCAGTCGGTTAAGCGCCCGACTTCAGCCAGGTCACGATCTCGCGGTCCGTGAGTTTAAGCCCCGCGTCAGGCTCTGGGCTGATGGCTCAGAGCCTGGAGCCTGTTTCCGATTCTGTGTCTCCCTCTCTCTCTGACCCTCCCCCGTTCATGCTCTGTCTCTCTCTGTCCCAAAAATAAATAAACGTTGAAAATAAATAAATAAATAAATAAATAAATAAATAAATACCACTTCCCTTTGGCTTTTGTGACCTTATGCTCTCCTAGTTCCCTCGTCTACATCTTGTCATTCCTTTTCAGTCTCCCTCACCCAATTCCTAAGTATTGTTTCCCTAAGGCTCTGTCCTGATCTCTCTTCTCATTCCCAAGCCCATAAATACCTTAAAAGCCCAGATGTGCCACTGGATATTTGCAGATGGTATATCCTTTGTATAGCACACCCTTCAAACCTACCCACAACTTACTGTGTAATTGTCTTCTACTCTCCTTCACCTTGAAGCTTAGATACCACCTTCTCGGGAAGCCTTACACAGCCTCCTTTATTCTGGTGGTGCTCCTGCAACACTTGTTGCAGTTACAATTTACATTTATTTATAGGATTTGTTAAATGACAGGCCCTCTTGTTGGAGGTAAACTCCATCATGCCAGACACTGTATTTATTTTTCTTATAATTTTACCCCTAGTGCACTACAAAATGCTAGATACATAGTCTATACATAATAATTATAGAATGACAGAGTGAATAAAAATTTTGAATAATGTGTCTATGGAGTATCAAGATGGGCCTCTGTCTCCCCCCCCAACCCCGTTCTTCCCCCACTTGTACTCTCCCTCCCTCTCTCTCAACGATAAATAGGCATTAAAAAAAAGATGGGGATTTCCCATACATGGTTAAATATGTGATTTTTGAGCTCAAGGGAGAGGTCTGGCCTAGAGAGATAGATTCACTCAGAATTTAATTGTGCATGAATGGTAATGAAGCTTTGGTTTGCCTATAAGATTTCCCAGGGAATGTTTATGGAGTGAGAGGAGAAGAGGGTAGAGGACAAAAACCTTGGGAATGTCCACAATTAATGAACTTGGGCAGATGGAGGATGATCCATCAAAGGAGGCTGAGACTGTATGTGCCATCCACACACTGCATGTTTCCCTTGGCACTCCTAATTTCAAAATTCTGCCCTTTGGGCAAACATATTTTGCAACTGCATTTTTGGCTCAGAAAATATGTTATGGCATCTATAAGGGAAACAAATATAAATCTAATTTTAACAGTTAGCTTATTAATAGTAATATAATCGATATTAATAACTGTACATAGTGATTAATAAGATGATTTATTACTGAAGTGAGGAATTAAGTATTAATTTTCAAAAGTGTATAGTATATATAGCAATGATATTTTTCCTCGTTTATAATCTTTTTGAGCTATGCTTCTAAAAACTTGCCTAAATGTAAATGATATATTTAATCTTTCTTTTTTAGCCTGAAAGTACTTTACTGATTTTCTGTGAGAATGGCTATGTTCTTGAAACTCCATTTCCAACTATAAAGGAGGAAGAAGATCATGATGCAGTTTCCTATGAAATCAAAGACATGCACATAAAATGTTTTCATTTCTCAAGTGTCAAATCTAAGATCCTGGTATGTAAGATCCTTGAAGCATTACCTTCTAATATGTTTTGTCTTAGAATACAAAATGTCCTATAAAAGTGCTGGTGAAGTACAAAGAAGAATAAGACCTATACCCTGGCTTTAGAGAGCTTGTAAGCTGGTAGGAACCAGCTGACTGTATTAGAAGGCAGTAGTGAACAGATGTCAGAATCAAAGTGCAAAGAAAATAATTTTAGTGGTGTGCAGTGCAACAAATATGCTTTTAATGGAGAGATAAGAGAAGATCAGAGATGACTAGATGCAGGTGACATTTAGTCACTTAGAAAATAGGAAGGATTTTGAAATACAGCATCCTGTCTTGATAAAAACCCTCAAGAAAGTAGGGATAGAAGGAGCATACCTCAAGATCATAAAAGCCATATATGAATGACCCAACACTGATATCATCCTCAATGGGGAAAAACTGAAAGCTTTCCCCCTAAGGTCAGGAACCAGACAGGGATGTCCACTCTCATCACTGTTATTCAACATAGTATTGGAAGTCTTAGCCTCTGCAATCAAACAACACAAAGAAATAAAAGGCATCCAAATCGGCCAGGAGGAGGTCAAACTTTCAGTCTTTGTAGATGACATGATGACATGATACTCTATATGGAAAACCCTAAAGATTATAACAAAAAACTGCTAGAACTGATTCATGAATTCAGCAAAGTTGCAGGATATAAAATCAATGCACAGAAATCGATTGCATTCCTATACACCAACAATGAAGCGACAGAAAGAGAAATCAAGGAATCGATCCCATTTACAGTTGCACAAAAAACCATAAAATACCTAGGAATAAATCTAGCCAAAGAGGTGAAACATCTATACACTGAAAACTATAGAAAGCTTATGAAAGAAATTGAAGAAGACACACACACACACAAAATGGACAAAGATTCCATGCTGCTGGATAGGAAGAACAAATACTGTTAAAATGTTGATACTACCCAAAGAAATCTACATATTCAATGCAATCCCTGTCAAAGTAACACCAGCATTCTTCACAGAGCTAGAACAAATAATTCTAAAATTTGTATGGAACCAGAAAAGATGCCAAATAGCCAAAGCGATCTTGAAAAAGAAAACCAAAGCAGGGGGCATCACAATCCCAGACTTCAAGCTATATTACAAAGCTGTAATCATCAAGACAGTATGGTACTGGCACAAGAACAGACACTCAGATCAATGGAACAGAATAGAGAACCCAGAAATGGACCCACAAATGTATGACCAACTAATCTTTGACAAGGCAGGGAAGAATATCCAATGGAATAAAGATAGTCTCTTCAAGTGGTGCTGGGAAAACTGGACAGTGACATGCAGAAGAATGAACCTGGACCACTTTCTTACACCATACACAAAAATAAACCCAAAATGGATGACTTCAATGTAAGAAGTCATTGTTCTCAGTGTTCTCAGTTCGCCGCTCCGGCTGTCGCCATGGTGAAGCTGAGCAAAGAGGCCAAGCAGAGGCTGCAGCAGCTCTTTAAGGGCGGCCAGTTTGCCATCCGCTGGGGCTTTATTCCTCTCGTGATTTACCTGGGATTCAAGAGGGGTGCAGATCCTGGAATGCCTGAACCAACTGTTTTGAGCTTACTTTGGGGATAAAGGTCATCTGGATTTGGAAGCAATCAGTGAACAGGAACAACATGGAAGGTGTGCACTCTGGCTGGGATGAGAGATGGGACATCGTTCAGACATTCACCAGTTGAATGGCACAGGGCTCTTCTCAGATGAATCGGTGGCAGTGGAACCTCTACCGACTTATTTATCATAGACTGTATCTAAATAAATGTTTTTAACAA